CTAGAGGAGCTTCCCGGAGGGGCCCCCAATTCAGCCATCCCTCTTCTGATAAGGGCGAGAATGGCCAACTTCAACGTACATCGTGTCCTGGTCGACGAGGGAAGTTCTGTCGACGTGATGTACAACCAGTTGTTCAGAACACTGCAGCTCGATGACTCTCACCTTTCACCATACGTGGGGTCAGACCTGCAGGGCTTTAATGGCTCGAGTTCCAAGCCGTGGGGGTACGTGGAGCTTATGGTCACGTTCGACGAGGATACTGCTACCAGGCAGGTCAAGGTCCGCTTCCTCGTCATCGACTACCCATCCCTCTACAACTGCATCCTCGGGAGGCCAACACTGGCAAAGCTGACTGCGGTGCCCTCCACCGTCCACTTAAAGATGAAGTTCTACACCAAGAGGGCACGGGTCGCCACTATTCAAGGCGATCTAGCAGCCTCCCGAAGATGCTTCAACGCGGCCTCCAAGGGACACAGCATAGTCGACACCAGCACACGGCCCGCCAAGAAAGCTGCAACTGCGCAATCAGAGCCTCAGCGATCAGAGCCCGTCAGAGTAGAAGAACAAAGGGCCCCTCCAAAAGTCGACTCGATCTTTCTGGACACTTACTTCGACCAGGACGTGCCCTCCAGCGGCGAGCAGGTGCCCCTCCGACCAATTTTGGATGGGGACTTCGAGCTCGTCCCTCTCGGTGAAGACCCAAGCAGAGGAGTGAAGATTGGCACTGGACTCCCTGACTTAGCGAGAAAGCAAATCAAGGTCTACTTGAGGGAAAACACTGATCTGTTTGCATGGAGTGCTACGGAGATGCCTGATCTCGGCCCTGAGGTCGCTTGTCATCAACTCGCCATTGATCCAACCTCGTGGGCCTAAGACTTGCCGAGGATTTAGGCGCCCGAGAAATACTAATTTTTACTGACTCCCAACTTGTCGCGTCTCAAGTTCAAGGGGGATACCAGGCTAAAAACAACAGCCTCATCGAATACTTAAACTTGGTCAGCGAACATATGAAAAAGTTTGATCAGGCAGAAATTCCGCATGTACCACGCGAACAAAACACACGGGCCGACATACTCTCGAAGCTCGCAACCAGGAAGAAGAAAGGTGGAAACAAATATGTCATACAAGAATCCCTGTCTCGCCCGAGCATTGAAAAATCCACGACTTTACCCGAAGTAAATGCCATCGGGGATAACTCATGCTGGATGACCTCGGTATTCAACTTCCTAACAAAGGGGGAACTTCCCCTGGACCAAAGAGAAGCAGCCGCGACCAAACGACAAGCATGCTCCTATGTGGTGCTTGAGCACAAACTATATTGTAGGGGATTATCCATCCCACTCTTGAAGTGCATGGAAGAATCTGCGGTCCCCGAGATACTACGAGAAATTCACTAAGGGATTAATGCCCAACACATGGGCGGAAAGTCCCTAGCACGGAAAGCACTGCGAGCAGGGTACTACTGACCGACAATGCAGCAAGATGCCAAAGACCACATCAAGAAATGTGACAAGTGCCAAAGGCACACCGACATGCATCTCGCCCCGCCACACGAGCTTAACACACTATCATCCCATGGCCATTTTCCTAGCGGGGAATGGACATCCCCGGGCCATTGGTACAAGGGACGTACCAAAACAAATTCCTCGTCGTGGCCGTAGATTACTTCACAAAGTGGATAGAGGCCGAAGCCCTCGCAAAAATCACCTCGCACAACATTCTGCGTTTTTACAAACGAAACATGCTCGCTCGATTTGGAATCCCTCAGGCGCTCGTCACAGACAACAGTACCCAATTCACCGACCAAGGCTTTCAAAGCTTCGTTGCCAAACTCGGCACCAAACAACATTTTAAATCAATCGAACACCCCCAGACTAACGGGCAAGCCGAGGCCGCAAATAGGGTTATCTTGCGATGACTCAAATGCAGGTTAGGAGAAGCCAAGAGGGGATGGGTCGAAGAATTACACATCGTCTTATGGGCTCATCGAAGAACGCCCCACTCGACTACCGACGAGACACCATTCTGACTGACTTACGATACCGACGCGGTCATCCCATTAGAAATCATGGAGCCATCCAGGCGAACTGAAATGCCCCTCGACGAAGAGATGAACGACGAGGCCTTGAGAGACGAGCTCGACCTCGTTGAAGAAATACGGTCAGGAGCAGCCCTGCGCGAGGCCACTCGAAACAACAGGTAGCCCTACGCCACGACAACAAAGTCGTAAAACGCGAATTCCAGGTCGCAACCTAGTCTTGCGGAGAAACCAGAAGGATTCTCGCAAAGGGAAGTTGGCCGCAAACTGGGAGGGACCTTATCGCGTCCAAGGAGCTACGGGCACCGGAGCATATTATCTCGAGCAATTAAACGGAGAACCACTACCGCGACCTTGGAATGCTGCGAAGCTAAAACAATATTATAGCTAAAGCCCCTCACATGCGGGGGACTTTTGTCATGGAATGTTCACCTCCAGTCGACGAAGGGAAAAGCTCGACCACGTAGGCGAGTCGAGGTACGGGCCCGACCTACCAACCAACGAAGGCATAATGTTGTTCACTTTGACAAAAAACATACATGCCCGACAGGGACACCTCGATCGAGCTCCGCTGTCAAAGTACCCCAACATGGAAGAACACCCAGCTCGCGATGGGCAGTTCACGCCACGAGCGTAGGATCCCAATCGCGATCATACGCCCGTCACGCGGATCCCCACTCCGCGCCTTCGACACATTTCGAAGTGCGTCGAACTGACATTAGGGTCGAACAAATATCTCCATACGAACACAAACTTCGTAAAAAATTCATAACCACGATAATGGTCGGACACATACATCAAATATTGTTATTCATCAGATAACTACTATAAACAAAGCATTCATCAAGTAGACAATCATAAACAAAGCAATCATAATATATCGACCACAAGGGTCGGCGTTGTCCAAAATTACAGTTTAGGCACGACGGCCAAAAAACTAAAGGAATGAAAGCGGGAACGTAGGCCCCAAAATAACAGCGGACACGCAAGCCCAAATACACCAATAAAAGCATTAATCACTCCCCGGAGTACCAACTTCGACGTCAGGAGAGTCAGGAGGAGGCACCACTCGGCCATCAACAACCTGGGACAGAACCCCAGTCCCTTCGGTATTCAACCCTGGATTCAGCACGGACAATTGATTCACAGCAGACTCAAAGCCATCGTCTAAAGCATCAACACAGTCCGACTCCAGAGCAGTCTTCAGTTTGCGGGTTTTGGCCACGAGAGCTGCCTTCTCCGACTCCAGCTCCTTGACCCGGTCCAAGGAGTCTGACCCTTCACCCGTAAGGACAACTGCCATCTCGACCATTTTCACCTACCCAATCATGATGGCATCGAGGTGCTTCCTCTGACCTTCCTTGTCGAGTCGTCTGATGATATCAGCCTCGTTGTCGGATACGGTCAAGGGAAACCCCTCAAAGAAATCTTTGTCCATAAAACAGGGTGGCAGGCTGAAGGCCCGGGCACCCGCCCCTCCATCGGTCACCTCGACTCCACCTTCTAGTCGACTCCATTTCTTGCTAATCAAAGCAGATTGGCGCTCAGTGTCACGGGAACCCGAGGACCCACCGGATCCTTCCCTGGCCGACTCGGGGGTCGGACCCATTCGCGTGGCTTATTACGGCTTCATCAACCTCTTACTGATCTTCTTATCTTGGGTCAGCTTCAGCAACCTCTCTCTACGTTCTGCCACGTGACCTGCAAAGGAAATGTGCTCGGGTTAGCCACATCGAAGAAAACAAAAAAGAAGGCTATCAATAGAGTAAGCAAGAAACCTAAGAGCTCTATAGCCTGCCCATAAGACTGGCACTCGACGAGCGCCTTGGTGTTGATCGGACGTGCCTCGAACATCGACTCACCATCCTCATCAAGAATTTTGTTCCCTTCCCTCGTAACCCACCGAGCGGGGAAGAAATCGTCGACAAATTTATTCAGGACGTCATAAGCCTCCTCGTCCTCGGCGCTCATACCGCCAGCGAGAGTGTGGTAGTATCCAAGTTCATGGTCGTAATGGCCCGAACACCAGTGGATGAGAAACTTTGAGACTTTCCCAATCTCGGGCTTACCCTCAGAATCCAAACACGACTCTCTGTCCTCGTCCGCCACGACAGCCGGTTCGAACAGCGAATCCACGGCTGTCTGAGTAGACGGTTGCAAAATATACCACTTGTCCTTGAAATCCCAAACAAAATCCATGTACATCCTAAATAGTCTTTTCGACTGCTTAAGGGACACCCAGCTATGCTTCCCTCCTCGGGATTGCTGTTGCAGGTGAAAAACCCTAAAGAACAGGGGAATCGTTGCCCAAATCCTCAGGAAACGACATGTAAGTTCGAATGCCCGGATAAAGGCAATTGCATTGGGATGAATCTGGGAGGGAGCCGGGTTCAAGTGATTGAACACTCCCATCTGGAAGTCGTTGAAAGGAAGTCGGAGCCCGAGATTTTTAAATACGATCTCGTACATAGGGAAGGCATTCTGAGTAAACTCCGAGCAAATGCGGGCGTCCCTTGTCGGCCTCATGATCTTAAAATTTATCTGAAACCCCTCTTGGCCACCGTCGTACTCGACGACAGTATAAGCTTGTCTACCGGTATAGCTATAGATCGAAGCTATCCCTCGGGGTTCCGCACCGACCCAGTCTAGAGTAGGGTCGTCGACGGTGTCGACCAGATTCATGCTTTCCTCGGCAGTGTTGGTTTCCTCGGTGTTAATGTGCTCCGAAGACTCGATAATATCAGCCATTTACTTGCAAAGTACATGAAACCGATGAATTCAACAGCAAATCCGCCTTTCTGCGACACAGACGGGGAGAAGTAAGCAACACTCAGACCAAGTCGATGACCATTCGCACGAAAGAGGGGGAACACGTAGACCTCGATCGAACATTGACCTTAACGACAGACGTCTATATCAATCATAAATATCGCAGGCACAGTAAGAATATTGCGAGCAAAGGATGAATTTCACGACCAAGTTCATAACATTGCTAGCCAGATACAAGAATCTCACGGGGAAAACTAGCCTATATACTAACGAAAGGGTGAATCTCACGACCAAGTTCATAAATTTATTAGCTAAGCGCATGAATATCACGGGCATGATCATAAATCATATGCCTAAACGTATGAACGTCGCGGGCATGATCATGAATCAGACGCCTAAAGCGCTTGAATTCCCCGGGCATAATCCCCATACACGAAATCCTACCACTAAACACCATCAAAATCTATCTACAAAACAAGATATCAAAGAAAAAGAACGCAAACTTGGAGGGAAAATGAGGAGCGACGGTTGTTGAGATAAATACACGGCGGACTGTGCGGCGGTCTCAATAATACTGGGAAAACGCACGGTGTTGACTGCAGAGAAAATATGGGAGCGTGAAAATGTGAAAACAAGTTATGGGCCCTGAAGCCCTATTTATAGAGCTGGCGTGAAATGTAAAACATCGCGTCGGACTAGTGTATCATCCTTTTCCCGCGAGTACTCCTCGAACACTCTTCGACCACTACACGAAGCAAATCATGAACCAGGCGACGTCTTCTGTCCACGGTAGAAAAACCCCGTGTCACGCAGCGAGTCTCGCAAAGGGGCGAACTTGAATCAACTCATGACTCCCTCACCAGGAGCAACGACTTGGGGGGTTGTTGTTCTGGACTGGGCCTGCCCTTGGCCCAACTACCAGTGAAGCCCAATCCAAGCTTGCCAGCCTGCTGCGCTGAGCAGTATTTCCTCCGAGCACATCCCGACCACAAATGTTTTGTCGACCAAGACTACTTCCCGTCGATGCTCGCAGAGACCATCTCCAACAAGCATGCGCTCCTCCCGAGCATCTTCCTCGTAAGACTGACTTCCAACCTCTCCAGATTTCGCGGAGTCTTCATGGTCCCGGGAAGATCGCGTCCCTATCCCCCCTGTCTTGCGGAGGACGTTATCCAGGTAGGGGGCACGTGTGGGTCCCCACTACATACGTAGAACCTGACAGTCTCTTTGTTGGGCCTGTTTGATCAGCCCAATAAAGAGACTTTGGCCCAGCGCTGGGGCTATAAATACCCTCTCTTCCAAGAGGGTCAGGTATTCAACTCATATCTCAGAACTCTTACTTGCTTGCTCATTCCGCTTCTTACTTTGCCACCGGAGTGTCTTGCAGGTACCCCATCTCATTCAACTTCTGCCCGAGCCAGCTGCGATAGTCCATCTCTGATCTGACAAGATCAAATGACAAGCTCAAAAAACTAGCAAATCATACATGGTTCTAAACACATTCAATCAAGTAAACTCAAGAATAATCATGATTTTCAAAACACAACTCAAACAAAAGCCAAAAATTCATGTTGCAATATGAAAAATCGAGTTTAAAATAAGCTTCAAACCACTAAACCAAAATTCGGACAGCAACTACGCATATACAAAGAAACTTACTAATTCCATCTTAAAATACACTAAAAACCGCATGGAAACAGTATGATATCACAACCAAACTTTCTCGTTCAAAATCAACTCAAGTGAAACAAAAATGCCATCAACACCTCTTTCAAAACGATTCAATCATAACGACACAACATTAAATTTCACTCAAAATTAAAACCAACAAAAATATTACAATCACAAATCTCAATGAACACCTTGCGGATTCACCACAAACATGAAATAAATGTCAACATAATAATTGCTACGCAAATAAAGTGATAATGACATAACGATTTCAAAATTCAGGTTTAACATCAAGAACAAATGATACTAGCAACGCTTACCTTTCCAAAATCCATCAAAGCTTCAACCTGACTTAAAACAAATAAACCAGAATTTTCCAATGAAAACAACACGATATAGAGACAAATAAACCAGAATTTTCAATGTCCAGATTTAACCGAACAAACATGGTGTCGATACATCGCTATCACCCTATTTCGATACAAACAAGAAGACACAATTACGCTGAATTTATCACAACATAACACACTTTTCACAGACTTTTTCGGCGGCATAACGAATAGCACAAGGAAAACCACAGACAGCAACTTCCTAACAAACACTAACACAATTCCGAACCTAAATTTTCACAGAGTTTATCACATATTCTGCTACAGGGTCTCGGAAATAGATAGCAGGTGGTTTACGGACCGGAAACAGAGATTAACGATGGAAATGGAAAGTGGTGAGTTCGGTAGGTTGACGAGAAAGATGAAGGGATCTGCCTTTTTCTTTATTCTGATAACAATTTCAAACTGCCTCTTTTTTCATTTTGCAACCAATCTTCTCCTCTCACAAACTCTACCTTATCTCTTTAAAAAAACAAATATTTAATTAACCGAAAAAAATAAATGAGCAAGTACATGTTACACAAATTAATAAAAGATTATCTAAATTGTCAGAAACAAAATAAAATAAAAATAAAAATACTGGATTGTAAAACGCTACGATTAAGAATGAAGTTTCAAACTGTATTAAAAAAATAAAACGAGCACACTGTCATGATGTACGCGAAATATAGATTCATAAAACAGTCAGTAAAAGGTGAAAATTTAAAATAGTTTTTCGCTAATTTTTTCGCACAGTGTCGAATCGTTTTTAACAATTTATCTATAAAATTGAAATATTAATATTATTGACATATAAACAACTTGGAGCAATGTATGAAGCGTATAAAGAGATAAAAATGTATGAAGTGAGAAAATACTTCAACTATAAAACGATGTAAATGTCGATTTAAACTGACTTTTGATCAACTTAAATATGATTAAACGGTGCAAATGTGATGAATGAAGACACTTATTAAAGATTGTGGCCAAATAATAAAATATGATATGATAATTCGACTAAAAAAATTATGTGCGAAATTTAGGGTGCAACAATATGACTTGGAAAACATCTCATACTTCCTTGGTAACGAACTATACAAGAGTATTATACGTTTGATGTTACAGCAAAGAAGATATACAAGTGAGATACTCAAAATATTTGAGATGAAGGATTGTAATGTAACTTAGACACCAGCTGAACCAAGACTGTAGTTGATGAATGACTCAAATGAAGTTGATGTTGATTCAACACAATACTGAAGACTCATTGAATCATTAAGATACCTTTGTCATACAATGCCTAATCTAGCATATAGTGTAGGTATGGTGAGTAAGTTCATGCAAAAGCCAAATGTATCTCATCTTGCATCCACCAAGAGTATATTAAGGTATCTCAAAGCAATACTACGTAAAAGCCATATCGCCACGGTTGGAAAAGGGATACCATCACGATTGATCAACCATGGTGAGCTAGGAGATGGTTGTAAGTTTGATGATTTCCACCATGGTCGTGTGACCGTGGTTATAAACTAGGTAGTGTGCTACCTATCACAACAGTTACATTAAACAACCGTAGTGAAATACTTAACGCTTAACTTTAACAATAGTTGTTCTAAACAATTGTTGTGATATATACACTTGAGTTTATTATAAATTATGTAGAATGCTTATTTCTCCAATTCTCAATAAACATATAACCTTTCAATCTGATCTAGAAAATAATAATATGACAAATTAAGTTATATTAGAAGAACAAGTTACACTATTTAATGTTATACAAGTTTTCTTCAGTCCATTATCTGTATTTTGCTCTTTAACGGTTAAATTTTGTTTCAATGCTCATAGTTCTTCAACCTCCACTTCCTTCACCTCTAGTTCATTTTTCAAAATATTATTGAAAGCTCAAAAGATTTGAGCTCTAAAGTTTTGACTAATTTTGGTAAAACTGGATCTTGAACAAGATGTCTCATTATGATCATCTGACATCTTGTCTGGTATAATTTGATATTTAGATTTTGTGAGTGAGTTACAAATATGGATCATTCTAGGAATATTTGGTAGTCATATGATGTGTTCAAGTTGAAGAACTCAGAAGTGTTGAACTAACATGTTTCATCATCAGAGAGACATGTCAAATGAAGATGTCCTATGAAGAGCCATTCAACATCGCACATGTGACCAGCTGGACAATTGGGTTTAATTGATATATTTCATGTGCACAATATTCTGGGAATATTGTGCTATCTTATGTGGCACATAATTTGAAGATTGAAGCTGAATTTTAGGAGATTGTTTAGTTTCTAATTATGAAGATAATTTAGGAAACTAATGATTGAAGTCATATGATTTAGGATATATTTTTGATGCCTTATTTGCAACAGGTAATCAGTGATTTGAAGCCCAGTCCAGTACATTGAAGATTTTAAAAGGAAGGCTTAGACCTATGGCTTGTTAACTAATCCTTGTATAACATATTATAATATCTAAATAAGGGTTTAGTTTTTTGAGAGTCGTGTACTCTCTTGCATTGCAAGTCATCCTTTCTATCGATTTGATGCATTGTGGTAGACATAGTTTATATACAAATTCAGAAGCCTTCAAGTAATGAATTTTTTATTGTTCTTGGATGAAGCTTTGAAGCAAATCCAAGTATGTTAGTTAGTCAAGAGTCTTGGCTGAACTTTATTTGAAAGAAGTATCTTTCAAGTAGTATGATGTGGTCACTAAAGGTTGTGGTTGTATATAGCACAAAAGTGATTTAGGGAGTGAGATGGGGTTCTCTTATATTGGATGGGTTTCTGAGATAAAGATTGAATTGGGTAGTGATTAGATAAAATAAAGGTTGTTTACTTGTAAACCTGAGGTCATTTATATAAAATGTTGGAACATCTGTTATGATTGTGTGTTAATACAGTTGTATATCAGTATGCTTTATTTTGTTCAAGTGATGTTAAATCGAGATCAATGTCTGAAACATGGGTTAGGACATTTTTTATTTGTATACCAAAAATTCAATTGGTATCAGAGCAGGCATCATGTTCTGTTTTAGGTGAGATCTAGGGAAGATACTTTATGGTGCATTGGACTTGAAGGAACAATGTGTTGGTTGTAGTTGATGCGATGATTGTGGTGTTAATTGTGAGGCGTTAATTTGTTGCATGTGCCTCTATAGTGTGAACATGGACAACTCATATTATTCTGGGATGATCCCCTGAGACTGATCATTAACTATTTGTGACTGAGTGAGTATTGGACATGTCTGAAGTTGTCAGACATGTAGCTTTGATGGTGAGCTGTTATGTTATATTTGATTTATTTTCAAACATATGGTGTTCTGTTGTCACATGTATTATGGTGACTATGTGCAAGGGTTATCTTGTTCTTCCCTAAAGGGTATTAAGGAGTTGTTGATGTGTGATCCGCTACGTATTTATCTGAAAACTCCTGATGGTTTGGTATATCCTATGGTATTGTAATACTTGGAGGATATCTTCAA